ACAAAGATGCTATCTTTGGGCAGATGCTTCCCAGTAATCTTGAACAAGAGATTCTATTCCTGACAACAAAATTCATCTGCCAAATTGCCTGCAGCAAATTACTTGTTCCATAACCCAGTGGATATTACAGATATCTAACTATCTAACACTAACAATTATATAAAAAAGCAAGCTTTTTAAATTAACACGCTTTATAACTTACAAGTCATAATAGGCCAGTTAAAATCTTATGGATTTAGGGAAATATGAATTAAAGTCCCTGCATTTTGTTATCACACTACAGCAAAATGTTCCTCAGGCTCATCAAAGTAACCAGTGTCAACAATCAGTTTCACAGGCAACAAATTTGCTAACATTGGAGATCCAGGAGGAGCCTTGAAAAAACCCCTGAAATTCATTGATTTTAAATCACAGGAGCAGCAAACAGAATTCCCAAGACACAAGAAAGCAGGAAGAGACATTCATTGTTTAGATTAAAAAAAGCTTGAGTGATGAGACATCATTGAAGACTGACTGAAGATCTGAAATTCCCTCCTCATGGGAACCACTCTCTGAAGTTCACACATTATATACATACCCTGAACTGCCACCAATCATTCCACTGAGAATGTTTTACTTCTGTGACAATTCAGCATGCTCAAGAGTCATTGGATCAGTTTCAAAAATGCCAGCTCGTATACTACTAGCAGCTTCTCTGAGGAGTTAATAAAGTACCACTACTTGCTTAGCAAACCAGGAAAAATGAAACAGAAATAACTACATACAAACCATTTTTCCTAGCTAATCTCAGAATTTTCAGCCCAACTCTTTCATGCAGGGTGGGGAAAGGCAGGGAGAAGTCTAGAGGCAATCATGTTATTTCACACTGGCCATTCTCTCTCCTCACAACAGAAAAGGAAATCTCAGAAACACGTCACTAAAGATCCATTATCAAGCACAGAAGTGATGGTAGTGCTGTTTATTCCAAATGCCATTCAAATCCAAAAGAGCCCTCTGTGCAAAACAATCTTAGAATCTTAAGGACTTGCATTCTTCTCATTATACTTTATACTCTATTCACAATATACTTTAAATACAAACATTCTTTATTCTTTGTATGATTAACAACACCTGCATTTCCCAGAGGAATGTCAGGCACACTTTAGAGAGATATACAGAGCTATCATGCTGTATATGGACTGATAATGTATCATAAAATGGAATATAAAGTTGGATTCTAAGACTCAATTATCCACAGCTGCTTAGTGCCAGTATTTCTAATTGCCTTCATAACCAGCAAGATTGTTCTCTTAACTATTCTTGGAAAAAAGGAGAGGAAGAATAAAACAAACTGTGAATCTGACATGACTGTTACACTGAAGGGTGTACTGTTTATTTTCGGTGTAAGAAAGGATGGCGTTCCTGCTTCTCTGTTCCTTTCAAAAATAGGACATCTTGTGCAAAGCATTTCTTGTGGAATTTGCATCACAGATGCAAAAGTAAAGTGCTTGTGACAATACTGCCAATCTGTCATGATTTTCAAGACAATTTGGAAGACAAGCCAGCAATCCATGGCAAAAAAGAAGAGTAATTCACACCATGTGCTGAACATGGCCTTGTTGGCCAGGTAGCCCAGCACTAGGTTTTGACAAACCAAAAGGAATGGCAAAGTAGCCTGACAGGGTATTGGGTTTGCCTGACCAGGCTTGGTAGGGAGAATACAGGACTGGCTTCAGTGAGTAGCTGCTGGAAGCTTCCACATGTCCTACAGAGCCAAGCACAGACCATGGTGAGGTGGCTGTCCCCCTGCAGCCCATGGAGGACCCCACACTGGAGCAGGTGGATGCCTGAAGGAGGCTGTGACCCCATGGGAAGCCACGCTGGTGCAGGCTCCTGATGGTCCCTTGGACAGAGGAGCCCAAGCTAGAGCAGGATTGCTGGCAGGACTTGTGATTCTGTGGGAGACCCACGCTGGAGCACTGGAGCTCACATTTCTCTGGATGCAGAGTGCAATACAAGCCACGCCAAGCAGCCCCATGGGTTGCCAGGCGCTGCAGAGCTGCCAGGCCATGTTCACCTGGGCAAAGCAGCCCCAAAGCTGGCCCAGAGAGCAGGGCAGGTCAGAGGCCATGCTCACTGTGACAATGAGCACTTGTCCATCCTGACCCAGCTCTGGGGGCTGCAAAGATCTTGGTAATTTTGGAAAAGTGAGGGACTGCATGCATAACCATCCTGCACAGAAGGTACTTCAATACTGTAAGCAGGTTGGTTTAAGTGCTGAATATCAACCTGCATTATTAATTTTGCCAACTTCAGAGACCAAGATGGATTAAGCATTAAAAATTTCTTGATGACCTGTATTTTAGATCACACAGGAACTGATTTCAAAAATTTGTGGTGGTAAAATATTCTCATACTCTTGGATTGGTGAAAATGCAGTTGTTTTAGTTTGAGTAGTATCTATTTTGAATTTAAATGATAGCTCCACATTATGGTAGGCCCAAGGGGATACACAGTAAAATTACACCAACAATTCCACTTTTCAGAGGTGCAAAATTTTGCATTTTTCACTACTGGTTTTGATGACTCATGCAGAGAAATCTGGGATGGTTTTCCACAGGTAGACCCATTGATCAATCCAGCATTCTACCTTAATTTCTAACCTTTCCATTCCTCAAATTCAGGGAATATAATTATCAGCTTCACCCTTATCCAAGTCCCATTCATTTTTTAAATACTTAACCAAAGTGCCTAGGCTTAAATCTGTTTTACTGGAATGTATCAGCTTTTGGAAACTATCATGTTGACTAATAACCCTAACTGGGGGAGTAATGCAGGCTATATTGAATTCCTTTTTACCGTGAAGCAGAAGAGAATGGTACTAAAGAAGGTGAAAAGAGAGCAATAGGCGGGGGAAGGCTGAGGTCTGAAAGGGCTCCCACCCTTTGGCCCAAATCAATGTACTCTTTGTAGGCAGGAAAGGACAATTAGATGTAAACATTATTTCTGACTGTGAGAGGAGGGGACTGGTGGAAAATACCAAAGCGTTCCTAGCAGACCTTGAAGCTCCAGTACAACCAGAGAATGAAACAACAGACTTCTGACCAACAGCAGAGCTTCTATATGCCAGAATGTCCCCTTCCATTGTTAGGACAAAACTTACCATGCAAGCTAAATGCTCAAGTAACTTTTTTTGAGAACTGCGTATAGCTATGCATCTCACAAAAAATGGCATGGAAAGCTCAAATCTGCTTATCAATGAACCAGACCTTACAGGAGCCTGAAAATAACATCCTGGACGCAGTACAGATTGCTGCTTAGAGTATCAATATGACTTTAATACCTGTAAAGAAGCCTTGTTCTCAGGAGTATAGGCTGGTACAGGATTTAAGAGCAATAAACCCATAAACTCTGTTGTGTGTATGGGCTTTTTGTACCAGCTGAAAAAGCCTGTTTCAGGACAACAGTGTTGGAGAAATTCATGGAGGATTGTCTCCTGTGGGAGGGATCCCACCATGGAGCGGTGGAAGACAGAGCACAGTCCTCTATGCTGAGGAGGACAGAGTGGCAGTGTCAACATGCGCGAACAGATCACAATCCCATTCCCAGCTCACCTTTGCTGCCTGGGGGAGAGAAGTTAGAGAACTTCAGAGTGAAGTCAAGCCCCGGAAGAAAGGAGTGGTAGAAGTGTTTTTAAGATTTGGTTTTATTTCTCATTATCTTCCTCTGATCTAATCTGTAATAAATTAAACTAATTTCCCCAAATCGAGTCTGTTTTGCCCAGGACAGTAACTGGTGAGTGATCTCTCCCTGCCCTGATCTCAATTCACAAGCCTTTCATTATATTCTCTCTCGCCTGTCTGGTTGAGGATGGGGATAGAGTGGCTTTAGTGGGTACCTGGCACCTAGGCAGGGTCAATCTACTGCATTTAGATTAGAAACAAAAGTATGCCTCAAAATTTACTTAATATATTGAACTATATTAGATAAAAGACTTTGAGGGAGCTTAAATGATCTGGAGTAAGACCGAAGTTTTTCACATCAGCTAATAACTTAATACAGCACTCCTCCATTAATTGTCTACATAGTTCCTTTGTGTAATCTCAAACAAGGCAGTCAGAAAAACACTCAGGACTACACACAATCATTAATAATTTGGGGACAAAAAAGGAGAAAACCTCTGTGGCATTATCAAAATTGACCCTTCATTAAATTTCCCTAAATACCTGCTCTTGTTCATTCTCTGAGACTCCACCACACAGGCTTCTGATGTTATTCCATTCAGACACTCTTATGGAGAAAAAAACCTTCCTTTCCTGTGGCCTCTGAACCCCTGCTTCTTCTCTCAAAGCTCAAATTCTTCACTACTTCTACTTTGTTTGCAACATAAATATTCTTTACCACTTCATTCAAATATCGCTTCTTCTTCAAAACATAATCTCTTTTTATTCATATCCCCGACTTCTCACCCAAATGTTTATTGTTTTTTGCTACTTCAGCTTTCTTTCCGGCCTTCCTAACACCTGGCCTGCCTTACCACATCCATCTCAAGTGCTCTTAAGATTCCCAGCCTCACTCGCTGCTTTGGTCCCACACACATGCCAGCGCTTCCCACTTTCCCCCACACTTCAGAGCTGGAACTCTCTTTTTCAGCTGTTCCCTTCCGTCGCCATCTCACCGCAGGGCCTCCTTATCCCCCCTGAAAAGGCAGAGTCTACCAGAAAGAAGCTTGTTTTCCCCAGGCGACCCCGAGCACACGCTCCCAGCCTGCCGCACATCCAAAAAAGCTGGTTTTTGGTCAGCTTTTCCGCCCGGCCGTTCCAGCTCCCGGGGACCGTCCCAGCAGCACACCGACCCCTCCTGCGGCCGCCCCCGGGGGCCCCGGGCCTACCTCGGATGTCCACAGCCGCCATGGCCGCGCGGCGCACGTCCCGAGCGGGGCGGGGCGCCGGAAGCGGCCCTGGAGCGGGGCGGGAGCCGTGTGAGGGGAACGCCCCTCGTCCCCACACGCGGTCGCTGGCCAGGGAAACGCCTTCTGAAAGCGAAGGGCCGTGCTGCCCCAGCGCCCCACCGCAAATCGGAGTGACCTGCGCTTCCCCTGAGTGGTGCGTAACGGGAACGACGGCGCCAGTACCGAAAATCGACATGCTCATTCGGAGCTGCTTGCTCAAAAGGGGAGAGACGAGGGTTTTGCTGCCGTTCTCACCTGCCCTTGGCCCGTTGGTATTTGCCCGTCACTTTCAAAGTGAAAGAGGTGTGGGCTGCAGGTTGCTGCTCAGCATCACACACATCCAGCTTGAGCTGGCTGGGGTAGCCCAGGTTTAGTTTGCCCTGTGAGAATAATAGATGTTTTGAGGTCACATCATCAAAACACAGTATGGTTCCTGTCCTGAGGTATGGTCCTTGGTATTTTGGCTTGTAAGTGAAATCATCGGTCATCAGACATTTATAGGGTGAAGAACAACACTCGGTGGATGGTAGAATATACATACACTGAAGATTAATAAGCTTCTTATTTAGGCTGACAACTGCAGTCTACCAATCTGCTGTACAGAGAGTCCAATACCCCTGTGTCATGCTAGCTGTACCTCCAGGGACTGACCGTGCCTGAGCCTTCGCTGCCAAGATCAGCCATCCCCTCACTGGCAGCAGCAAAGCCCAAGAGAGACTGGAGTCATCACCTTGCTTATGATCTTAATTGGTGATGGAACCTCTTCCCCTTCCATTGCAGGCCTGAGTGAAAAAAGTATCAGGACTACTTTACTGTGTATGAAGTATGGGAAAGGGATATTATTATTGTACAAGACCAGTCAAAATGTTAGAACAAAAGAGAGGTGATGCTGTATTTGCTCTTCATTCAGTCCTCTCATACTAATGCATTAAGAGACAGACTGTAATTGCAAAACCACATACCCTTTTTTTTTCCTTCCCAGGATTCCTGTTTCATTCAATATGTTAAAGTCACTACATCGTTTGTGAATATTTTGGGCTTGTTTTCTTTGAAGAAGAGGTGCCTGCAGAACACTTGCTTTACATGTTGCAGGTGTTGAAAGATGTGAAGGTACCAAGAGAAGGTGACAAGGCCCGACAGAAAAATGCTAGTTTCATACATTAGATTAATGAAGTTTTTTCAGACTGATTTATAGATGTGCTGAGCCCTCCACACAAATAAAGTAACGCTGTTCATGTTTTGTGTGTCTTATAATTCTCTGCACACTGAGAAGTTAAGTTCTCTAAAATCTCTCACAGTTTAATTATTCGAAGTAAGATTTTTGTAATCTCAGTGTCTCACAGCTCCATCTCTAGAAGGGAGGTGATAGCAGGCCCCTTGGCTCTGAGTGGTTCATGAAAATAAATGTATCTACAAAAATATGAGGCTGGGATGGTAAGTGTTCTGAGAAAATGAATCTTTTCTTCAAAAGAAGATTTGCTTAATTGGAAAAATAAGTAAAAATAAGTAAAAAAGATTGAACAGTGGAAGAAAAATACTGAACAGAAGAGCAGTGTCCAACTATAACACTGAATTCAGAAGAAAGCCATGAAAACGCAGTACTTGGTATTATTTAATAGCACAGTTAGATTAAAAATCGAATCTAACCTTAATTCTTCAATTTCGTGATTCCTAGGTGCTTGTCTTTGTCACTGAGAGAATATTTTGTGTAATATGTGCTTTTCCATGGGGTAATTCTCACGTGTGCAGACTGCAGATCCCCCTTCATTAGTTAGCTGTGACTCATTAGCAGTTTCTATCTTTTCCAAACACATCCCTCTAGTGTTATCCGCACCAGAATGTTTCCAAATAATACTATGATAGGTTGCCATTCTAAACCAAATGCCTCTATATCCCTGTCATGAACAATCCTCCTGGAGGTTGAAATGCCACCAGACATAACAGCTGTCATTCTGGAGCATCTCTGATACCCTATTTCATTCTATTTTTGTGCAAACCATTTCTTTTCAGTAGCAAATGAAAATGCAACCTCTATTTTAATTATTCATGTTGTCCATCTTTCCTGCTGACTCTGCACTTCTTCTCAGCAAGTATGCCTTCAGATGAACAAGGGGCTAAAAAGTAAAGAGTCCTGGGTGAGAAATAATGGGGCTTGATTGCATACAATGAATTTTCAATTATATGGTGAGACTAGCCAAAGCACTGCTGGAAAGAATTGTTCATCTGGTAACATTTTCACCTTCTGCTATAGCATAAAAGACGAGGGCTTTTTCACCTGGCTTCCTCTAGAGGGAGAATCCTAATGAGCATTGGAGTTTTGACCTTCTTAGCAGGAGGTGTGGATTACAGATGGAGAGATAATGAAAGCTATCACATAAAATGAGGAATTTATGCACACTGCTTTTGATGTCAGAGAAAGGCACCTTAAGCAATGAATATTTAGACATATTCATTTCATTTGCTGCTTTAAAAATGCATAAAACTCTTGGATAAAAATTGACACCTTTTCCAGTCCTGGTGTTCAGATGTCAGTGTCACTCTCCCTGCAGTGGAATTATTTTTCTGTATTTCTGTGGTCAGAGCTAATGAGGAATCTCATGCTACTATGCTCCACTATATGTACCAGAAGAGACTGTCCCTAATTTATAATGTTTGTTATCTCCAGTGGATGCAGGATTGGGAGCACTGAGTGCTCCAAACTGCATTATGGGTACAGCAGGGAGACTACCAAGGAGTCCCTTTATAGTTTCCAATAAGCACAGATAAACTGAGAGGACTACATCTATAAAAGGATGGAAAACCATCTCTGTGTACATTTCTAACACTCTGCAAAGACTGAATAAATAAGCTAGCTATATGCCATCGGGTGAAAAGTATTGTTTATGAATCCTTATCATTAAACTCTGGGCAGTTTCCAAAACATAATAGAGGCTCCTGAACAAGGATATCATCACAGCACCTCAGATTCTGCCTGCTGCATTTGAACTCACAGATTAATAGTAAGTATCTCTAAGTCCCATTCTGTGTTCTAGTAAACCTAGTCCTGCAGTGAAGCACAAGGGAAATTTAAATTCTTATGCTAATGAAAAATTGCTGGGCTTGAATTACTTATGAAATGAAAAAATTGCTACTGGTTTATAATAAATAGGTCTCGGAAAATATTCTTTTAAATCCTTATCTCATGGTTTGAGGGAAAGACATGTAAACAAACCAGAAAGAGAAACGTATAGGCAATGCAGAGAAAATGCTGAAATCACAAAATTTTTCAGGAGGGAAAGGAAATGTTCGAGGGGGCTACCATGATTTCATCACCTGTATTCTGTTTTAACATTTTTTGCTTGTGAAGTTTATTTCTTTCCACCCCAAAAACACTCATGTTGCTGGTATCTTCAGATGGCATTACACATGCAGTCATTTACAAAATAGCTTCCAGTAGGCCTCAAAAGCCATCACTGAATTGTGTTTTAGAAACCCACAGCACAGCCAAATTGCAAAATTCTGATTTTTAAATCCTTAATCAGGCACTTTTGCTGACTTCAAAGTCTGTTAATTTCTCCTTTCGCTCAGTGCATCTGCGTGTTCTTTTCCTTTTCCTGTGATGCTGTTTTCTGCACAGTTTTTATAAATACTGCTAATCACATGCATTGACTATAAAAAAAATAGCCAGGCTTGTAAGCTCTTTTTTATTTTTTTCCTGGAAAAATGCCATTGGGAAAATCTAACTAAAATGGCTGCAATGATGGCTGCAGCTGGTACTCTGCTCAAAACCATGTCCCCCCCATGCTCTTGTTGCTCTCAACTCTGGCCTGCAAAGAGCAGAGGAACTGGGGGACACTAAGAGTAATGTTCTTGGCATCCTCAGAGCATTTAAATACATCCCATAGTGCTTTATTACAGTCTCCTGTTTGAAAGAATGGGGAAAGAAAAGATGAAACCCTGCTAACAGTCTAAAAGCTTCCTGAAAACAATTAATCTGCCAGTAAGCCCCAAAAGGCTATCTGTCAAGAAGTTAATAAAGATGAAATGTCAGGATGCCACATGGCTGCTAACAACTGCAGGCAGGAGGGGAAATGAGCTTCCAAGCACAGGAGCGCAAACTATGTCATCTTGCATATGATCATGTATTAAAACCAGCAACTGCAGATGCTGACTTTTGTGTCTCTGCAGACATCTCTGACCTTAGCATCTCTGCTGCTGCATTGGCTTTATCAACAGAAAAGCCCATGACAAGGAAGGATGCACCAAGTTCATTCTACAGGTGTTGGATCACCCAGAGGGGACTGGTGGGAGACACAGAAGTTGCCCTATGTCCCTAGAGCTGCACAGATATCATACAGGCCAATGTTCAGCAAGAGGCAGATGAAGCTGTCAGGCAACTCTGGAGCACGGCCTCTGTCCCATACAGCTCTACTTGTGTGCATTTGTTTGCTGGACTGGGAGTCCACCAATGTTTTATTTCCACCCAGTTTCCGAAGGGCAGATCAGGGCCCTGGAGCAGAGCCCTGGCCCAGTCACTGCCAATGAGCAAACAGTGTCTGCTTGCAATGAAGGCTTGCCCAGGACAGGGAAGGGGAGAAAAGCAAAACAATCTTCTCACCATACATCCTGTTTATTGCACGTCTAGCAATCTAACATTCCCAATCTCTGGACTGCACCACAGCCTCAGCATTTGGCGGATACCTCTCAGTAAGCCTTGAATGCCATCACTTTACTGTGCTTTGTAACCTCAAATATGGCAAAATTGCAAAGTCCTTGATTTTTATGTCTTTAAGTCAGGCACTTGGCTGATCTGAAAGACTTCTTTGACAAAATAGAGTCTCTCTAGTCTGACGAAGAAATCAAGATTTGTTTTCCCAATTTACTGTATTTTCTATTGAAAAACAGAGGACACCAGTTTGGCAGTAAGCCTTGTGCTTCCCAGTGAGAGGATGCAAAACACAGACAGGCTGACCAGATCGGGAAGTGAAAAGAAACAATTTCTATGTTTCAAGATTGGAGATAGCTACAAAATCCAGCAAGCAGCAATGATGGCAGAACATTAATGAAACTGTCTAGCAGTATCTCTACTTCAACAAGTGCAACAAGGCTGTGCTCCAGGCCTCATGATGCTAAAAGGGGTCTATTTCACTTCACTGAAGAATTTTCGTTTCTGCTCTGTCCATTGAGTCAAAAATGCTTTTTCTTTGCACCTTCCATCTATCTAAAACAGATATCCTCACCTACCATTAGATCTTAGTGTGCACACTTCATCACTTGTCTCAGGTACCTAATGGGCCAGGCAGGTCTTTAATCAGAGCCCTTTTTCCCTGCTCTCCTTTTGCATTATTTTTTACTGATGTTGGTTGCCTGTTAACCCTAACACCTTTGCTTCCTTCACAGGAATTTTACATGTCCCCACCTCAACAGATACAGAAAAAAACCACATTACTTCCATCCTGGCTGCATTGTTCTTCATCTGTGCTTCCACACTATGCAGAGTTGAAGGTAGGCAAGTGGCCCAAGCATTGAGCCCAGGTAATGGCTGCATAGCTAGAGCTGCTTATCCTCCAGAGCAAGTGGGAATTTAACACTAATGCCTAAGGTGGACAACCTGGCCTATTTGCTGGGCCTGTGAAAAATGATCTATAACAAAGTGTTCTTCCCTGCTAGGTAATACTGCACACATCAAAGGTTATATCAAAGGTAAGTGGACACTGTTTTGGAGAGAGAAAAGGCCCAGTTTGGTAGAGGTGGTATGAATTTATGGGGGCCTTTTATCTCAACAGTTACATGGGCTTTTGACTGCTTAGTCTGATCAAGATATTTTCAGAGAGGGGATTTCCTTGGTCACTGCAAGTGTGGCTAAGAAGGTGTGTGTTCCTCTTCCCTTCCCTTCAGAAGTGGCTGCAGGGAGTTCATTATAGGCTTTGCTTTGTTGCCCTATAGTCTCTAAGGTGCAAGGTCCTCTATGGGGTAGGAAATTAATAGTGCATTGGTGATCAGCATAGGCTGATAGAGAAATCCCACTCTCAGGAGAACCAATCCCTTCTTCTGCTGGACTAACAGAATTCTTATCACAGCCTACATTAAAAAATTCCAGGTTTCCCTACCCAAATACAGGTCATTGGTAGGGTCCCAAAGAAGCTAGGTAGATCACTTGGGTATCAGAACAGTATCAGCCCATCACGCTGGTGCACTGTCCATCATCAGAAACAGAGATCAGAGTTACTATGGCACTTCACAGAAACTTCCACAGCCTGCACTTGTGACCCTGAGCTCAGGATGTACAAAGCTGGGACAAAGTAGCTTAGCACAGGGCACTGTCCAGGACATTTCTGCACTCATGAGAATCCTCCATCTGGAATATTCTCTCAACCACATCAGCCAAGAGTGAGCCAGATGTAAATACTTTACACCATGCTTTGGTAGGGAAAGAGTAGGTTAAATTAATTAAGCTCACATCACAGAGATTCAGCATCTGCTTCAAACAAGTAATGAACCCACACTGATACCAGAGCCTCATTTGTATAATGGAAAGAGCCATAGCACGTCTTTGCTTTACAGGTCATAACTGAAGTCCGGAGGCCACTCACAGAACATGCTGAGATTTTTGCACATCCAGAAATGAACTAGTCACGTTTTTCTATCAGTGCAATAGAGAATGGAGCAAGGACACTTATGGATTAAAAATCAAATTATCTTATTTGATCATTTCCCCCAGTCTCTTCTCCCCAGTGTTTTAAACATTCCATTTGTTGAACAGGAAAAAAATTAGAATAGCAAGGCAGGAGATACATGAATATAGCTGATCTACTGGAGTGAAGCCAAACCAGCAAAGCCGGGAATGTGTTTCTATAGTTCTTAGCACAGTGGGGCTGCACTGAGACTCAGAAGCTATTGTGATGCAGTGATAAATAATGGTAATGGGAACATCAGGAAATGAATACAGACAAACTGTATGTCCTACAAGTATGTCAAAAATTAATATTTACCATCAGCATACACCACATGACTGTCCTTCACAGCTTGATTCAGTGCCATGAAATGTATACTGTTGTTTGAGGGGTAAAAAACATAAGTCAGGGCAATGATCACCCTTCATAAATAGGGCTGTTTCTTCAGGATGGGCTTCCCCACTATGGGACAAACCAGCATCAAAGTGTTTTGTTCACATATAAAGTGCTGCATCTGTAAAAAAATGCATCTGTGGGAAACTGCATTTCTGCCCAGCAGGAAATGTCCTTACATAATCAGCTGGGGCTCTGTACTGAAAAAGGACAGCTTGAGCCTTACTAAGCTGTGCAGTCTTGTACAGATGTACAGACCCAAAAAACCCCTTGTTTTAGTGTTTGACACTTTACCAAGTCTCTCAATCATGTTAATTTTATTTTTTTTTTATTCCAAGTCATAACAAGGTTTGGATTTAAAGTAGAGTAGGTTAAATGAGTTTTCTTGCCTTTGTAAATCCACTATCAGACCTGTGGTGAAATCAACATCTTCTGTGGAGATTTTAGCTCCAGGATTACTGCAATATCTTTTTCATCCATATTATCATTCTATTCAACTCACTGATTTTGTTCCTTTCTAAAAAGGAAAGGTGAGTGGAGAGGAACATTATATGGCTAATGACTTACTAGCCTTTGAGATGAAACCTTGGACTCTATTCTGGGCAGAATAATTGATCACTTCAAACTGATTCAAACTCAGGTGAGTATCAAGAAGCAGTTGCCTGAATTTTTGTGTTGCTCACGGGTTTTCTACTTTCTTATCCATACTGGCTTTTATGGCAGATCAAATGTCTCCTCTGTCTTTGAACACTTATAAAAGTGGACATGGAAAGTGCATTCATCCCATATTTCTATATGAATTTAATTTTTTTAAATGTATGTGTTTATCTCTTTTATAGTCTTCTTTAACCAAATTTATTCAGTACAATTTACAAAATTCCTAAAGCTTCTCAGTACAGAATAAGCAATCTTGCTAATAAGGTCAGGCATAGCTTATTCTTCTAATTACTCTGCATTTTTTTAGTGCTGCTATTTCTATGCCTAGAGTTGTAATGAAAACAGTCAAATAATTGTGCAACTTCATGAAGGGAGGAAGGAAACAGCCCAATGAGAGATTCATCTGGGCTGATCCTCATAAGCAAACCATACTTAGTTGAAAACCAATGGGTTAAGAATTAAATGAAGTGTGGATACTGCAGTCATTGGGTAGTTAGTTGACAGGACATGCAGTCAGAGAAGCAAATAGAGGCACGGTCAATGAGTAATTAAAAAAAAAAATCTATACTAATACAGATTTCATTTTGGAGGAAATAGTCCATTTTGATTCTATTCAATCTCCTCAACACCAGGAAATCTTTATTTCCTGAGCTGTTAGGACACTCCTGCTCAGGGCTAAGAAATTATTGTGACAGGTGTGCACAGAGAAGTAGGTCCATAAGGACTGCTCATCTGGCTTTCCTCAGGGCAGTATTGTTAATGTAAGCTGTGCATGACAACCTATGGGGAAAGAAATACCTTTCAAATAGCCTACCAATGCAATAACAGTGTGTTGCAGGAGCCACTAAATAAATTTTCTGCAGTAAAATCTTCAGTGAGCTTCAATTAAATAGGGATAGTACTAATCTCTACATGTCCACACTTGAGACCTTACATTGGCAATATTATGTGGACTTACTAAATGACTTTGAAAGTCTTTCACACATCAAGGTCCATTAGAATTTCTCTTCTCTTTGTAGGGTGAAACGATGATGTTTCCTCACTCAAAGTTCATTTAAGCTCTCAGTATACACACAGTTTCACTGATACCACACAATGCTGGCCACCTTCCATCACTGCAGTGTCCTGGAAGATGAGGCCTGGCCTGGAAAGCTGTCTGGATGGGGAACAGAACCATTTTTGCAACAAAATCTGAAAGATGAGAACCTCATATAAACTGCAGGGATGATGCTACTGGAATCGCACACAGATGGTAAGTCTGTGACCACACTGCCTGGGGCTCTGTGCTCACCAGACCTCACAAATTTGTTTGGAAATCTGGGAATGCATGTCCTCAGGAAAACCCCATATGCTTACACGATGAATGTTGGAGATACAGCAAGAAGCGTTCCTCTTTCACAGTTTTTCTTCCTTTTTCTTGTAATTAAATCACCCATATATGTGGTAAATGAGCTTAACAATCTCCATGCAGCTTTTACTCAAATGGTTTCACTTGAGCACTTCTTTAGATACAAGAATCCCCGTGCTCAGAAATGGATCTGTCTCTAGGATGAAGTGAGCCATCTGCTTAGCTGTGCACTGCAGCACCCTCAGCATATTAGAGAGAGAGAGAGAAAAGCAAGCAGAATAACTACATCCAACTGGAAAAGCAAATACAAATGCACGTACACTGAAATTTGACCCAGGCCCTGCAGTTTACCCTTCAAACTCAGTAACAGCACAGGCATGTTAAAGGTCAGGACCATAAAACACCTATGTCTCACCTCTCTTCCAAAGATAGCACAGCTAACTGAGCTGCAGGGCCTGCCAGTCTGCTGATGGAGTGGCTAAGTGCTCTCTTAGGGGACAGTACCATTTACTGTACCATCAGCCATACTTCCTGAAATAGCCTGCGTCTCCTCAGAGGCCACTCTGATCACCATCAACAACTTGCAGGGACTTCTGACACCAGACAGGAAAACAGCACAAACTCTTTCTTTGACATCAGCCCAATTAAGTATGTCTAGCACAGCAAGAGCCTTCTCAGAGGCCAGGGTTTGGTACCCCTCAGGAATGACAAAGTTAGTAGGCATTGAAGTGAAGATTGTGCCATGCCATAAGACAATGAAAACAGATGGGATATGCAAGACAATTCATGTAAGCCCTGGTTTTCAAAGACATTGCCAAACTAGGAACTTTCCAGACAATTCTGCTTCTTGTGAGATATTAACTGCTTCACACACTGCTAGACCTGATATATAAAAAGCAAACACTTCTCTAGCAGGTCTGCTTGCTCTGTAAAATTACTGCTTGTCGTTTTCTTCTTGCAGTTCAGCTGAAGTTGGGAATAGCTGTGTCTCACACAGAGCAAGCAATTAGATGCACAAGCATTTCCATTTGCTCCCATGTGTCAGTTTTAATCTCATAAAAAACACTAAGCCACATACTAAGAGAGAGAGATGGTTTTTCCAGCTTAGAGGTAGTTAGATGCACTTTTGATGTGTGTCTATACAATGGAAGAATTCAGCTGTATGAGTCACAGCTGTGTGTGCAAGTTGAATCCAAGGGTATGGGTGTGAGCTCTTTAGGGGCAAGTAACAATAAATACGCACTTATCCTGGAATTGCAATCACTGCTTGATCCTGGAGATGTAAGTGTGGTGTAAAGACTAGGAAACACTCCTGATGTGGACACACAAACTGAGCAGGCTTCACTGCTGGGGACCATTGGATGGCATTTCTCTTCAGAGCACCAGCAATTCAAAGTTCATGGGGAGTCAGTGCATTTTAGGATTCTCTTTTGTGTTGCTCAGTAATTCAGCTTCCAGTTACACTCACATATTGTCTCATTAGACTCAAACCCAAGTGACTTATTCTGCACTCCTGTACGTATCTGAACACCAAGTGTTACCTGGTCACTCTTGGAGTTAAGTGATCTTTATTAACATTCAACTACTTGCCATTTACCTGGGCAGGAGGAGGATGCCAGACATGAGCAGGCCTGCAGTAACTGCTTCTATGATGTCTCTTATTCCCCTCTAATGCTGCTCAATATGCAGTCTTTCAGCATTACAGGAACAAGTGCCTTCACCTCCATGGAGGGTTGGAACAGGCAGCCTGCCAGGCTGGTGGAACAGCTGATGCACAGTAACTCGAGCCCATAATGGTGTGGTGTAGCATTAGGCACTTCTGTAGGTCTCCCTGGGGCACTAGCAACTAACAGTGGAGCGAGGGTCTGCTTCCTTAGGGTCTCAGAAAAAGCATTGTTCTCAAGTCAGATCTAGGTCACTGCTAACTCAAAAACCTCACACCACACTCCTTTGCCTGGCATAGATGTGCCTTCAGAATTAGGACAGCTTTGGATGCTGGAAGATAAGATAGAGGAAAAATGAGGGCTGAAAGATATAGGAGTGCCTACTTTGTGGTTCTCAATATCCGTCTGATAAGCAAGATGCGGGTGTGGTTTTCCCTAGATCTACTCTTTTCACACACAACAGAGGAATCAACCTTGCTGCTCTTCAGTCCAGCCTGAGTAAAGTGCAAGAGCTACCCAGAACACTGGGGTTTGCTTGAGAGATTGTAGCTGCAGCCTGCAGATGGGATGTCAACAGCTGATTTTAAGTGGTTAAAAGTGTTTTTCAAACCATTTTGTTTTGCAGCATTCCCTTCCAGTGTGACTATTCTGCAAATCACAGTACTCATTTTTAATTAAAGTGCAAAAATAAACACTGGGAATGATGTTAAATTGTTTTGATTTGACCTGTCCAGGGTTCATGGGTAAGCTTCTTACCCATTTGTTTGTGCATTTATGAAAAAGAAAGAAACAATCCAGAATGCTAAAACCAGAATTTAGAACAGTTGTTTTAATTCTGAACAGCTGCTCTGTTTAACCATCCACCCCTTAGTATCGTCAGCAAGCATTTTTTTGACAAAGATGGTGCTCATATATGCACATGAGCAACGTCTTGTCACAGAGACTCTCTGTCTACAAACATTTCTGTGGGCTATTTTTCCTTGATTGTATACTATTTCTGGGAGAGTCATTGTAGTCCTGATTAACCATTCTCAACCAGGCTGTCAGCAGGCATCAAACAGCCTGCAGGATGAACTGACCCAACACAGAATGCAGACTGTGGACAAGGACATGCACAATACTCTCCAAGTGTGTTGCATTTGATGGACACTTGTAAACAAAGGATCTCATGTTCTAAAAAGAATTTTGTTGACTGCAACAAGTGATATGGAAATCAAAGAAATTTGTACCAAGATGGCACCTTCTTTTAAATGTGATTTTATTCCCCTTTCCTCTCTTCCTTGGATATAACTACATAAGACAATTTCTCCAACAAAGGATTTCAGAGGCATCTCTGGTTTTGTTCTCCTGGCCTTTCAGAAGTTCTTTCTCTTCTTTTCCCTGTATATGGACATAAAAGGCTGTGCTGCAGAGCTTTACATACGGTTTGGAAATAAATAATAGATGATTGACTAAGCTGGTGACAGACTGGCACAGCAGCAGCTGTGTATGCTGGAAGCTTGCTGCTATTTGGGAATTCTGCAGCTGAATGGAAGCAACGAGGGATTTCTTCTGCTCACAAGGGATTGACACCATTTACATCGCAACAGGAAATAGGTGAGGCTTGTGCTTTGGCAGGAAGGATTTGATGAAACAAGTCTCACATGCTTGACGGTTCCATCAACATGAATGAATGCACAAGAACTGGACTGAGGCCTTATATGCTTTCCAAATGGGTATCTGGTTTTCAGTCTATATAAACTTGCTTCTTCATAGCGGCCCTTAGAGTTCCAATTTATAAAAAGCTCACAGTATAAATGCTACAGTGGATTTACATCTATCTAGAAGAATCATAGAATGGTTTGGGTTGGAAGGAATCTTAAAGATCGTCTCGTTCCAACCTACTCACCAAGGCACTATCCCAAGCTGCTCAAAGCCCCATCCAGCTTTGGCTTGAACACTCCAAGGGATCTGTTCTCTAGAAGCTTCTCTGGGCAACCTCTTCTTGTGCCTCACCCCCCTCATCATAGACAAATGTCTCCTTTATGTTCAATAAATCCACCCTCCTTCAGTTTAAAGCCACTACCCTTGTCATAACACTACCTGCCCTTGTTAAAAGTCCCTTTCCAACTTCTTTCTAGCCCCTTTTAGGTACTGAAATGCTGCAATAAGGTCCCCCCCTCCAAGCCTTCTTTTCTCCAGGCTGAACAATCCAAACTCTCTCAGCCTGTCTTCATAGGAAAGATTCTCCAGCCCTTCAATGCCCCACCAGAGCCCAACTACGCAGTCTTCTCAACTGCCTCAGGAGCCTTTCCAGTTTCCTTACAGCAGTATCTTGAAATGTAGAGAATCTGTTGCATATGTCTGTAAGTTAAGTCTTTTGTGCAGGCAGAAACAATTGCACCTGTAAGAAAGCCGGGACAGCTCACAGATATGTAAGATCCAGTATTTTTCTCAATATTTACCATTTCCCCTCACATCTTCCAGCCATGAACAGGACTCCACAAACACAATTTTTTTCAGGTAACCTGTGAACAAGAAATTATGGTTTAGTGAGTCACAGATCCTAAAATATCCTATGAAGCATGTGACCTCCGCATAATACTACTATTAATAATAATTAAGCAATGCAAGTGTACGGTTTTGGAACATGCTGAGGAAAGCTCAGTGTGGAGGAGGAGAGACAGGCAGTTTTAGATACTCACAGCACCTGGGGGCATCCAGACAGACAGGTACACCCCATCTCTTACAAAATGGGATAGATAAGCACATCCTGCATCTATGGACAGAAAATCCGTCACTGCTGGACAAAAGACAGGCATCACAGCTAATACTGACCGATATCATGACCTCATCTCATGGCACATGGGTAATGACTGCAAACTGGCTTAATTTTACCCAAATGTATGTATGCTTTATTTCACAGTTCAGCGCATCAATATAATACATAAACTTCATCTTTCTGATGCTTTCAGGTTCCTGTCATGTTTTCAAGCGGAATATCACTAAAGGTGTTGACCACTGGCAAGCCTATATGGGGAGTCTAGTGGGCCTGAGACAGCTGAAATCTAGACCTGAACATCACATCTCGTATGTTAGATGAAATGTGAGGTATCTCCCAAGCACAAATCTTGTCTGACTTGGAAAGGTGACAACTTCTCATGTTCTCCAAGCACCACATTCCTCTTGAAAAGCAAGCAAACAAACAAAAGTAGTCCCTTATGTTGTGGTCAGTGTGGTGACCCAATGACTGGTGTGATGTTTCCTAAATATTTTAGTACAGCCAGTACTACTTAACTCCTCTGCAGGAAGAAGGATATGGTGGACTAAACTGACCTTTGCCAGTCATCCTGCACATCTTATAGCAGCTTTGAATTTTCTGGCTGAGAGATCCAGCTCTGAGGGATTCTCTTTGCTATCAACAGAGTCTAAGTTGGCCAATAAACAGCAATCATTCAGATGTTTCTGTTATGGTCTGTTTTGGGATTTACAAGGTTGTGGCATTCACCTTCATAGGCACCAGCAATGTCAGGAAGAGAGTTTGGACATTTCTGGAAAAAAGTGGAAAACTCATTTGGGTGCTTAGGCAACATTTGGGACTAAGCCACAATTTGGTATATTCAGTATAATGCAAGAACCACCCAGTTTTATAGCTATTTTGCACATCTGCACCCATAATGCCAGTGGCCACTGCCAAACTCCTCTGTATGAAAATTTACATTTTTCATAGCTTGTTTCACACTACCACTGGTGATCAGTAACCAAAGGAAGAAATCTCAAAGATCCCTTAAGCAGAGGGGGTGGGAGAGGAGAACAAGTCACTTATGTCTCAGTGCCCCCTATGCCATGTAGGTCCATGGGCTCAGGCAAACACTGAAAAAGGGAAGCAACTACTCCCAATGTCACTTTGCTACATCGCCCTCCAAGAAAACAGTACCTTCTTCGATAGCTTCTGCAGCTGCTCAGATCTCAGCAATTAATCCCCTGTGGCAATCTCCTTTCCTTTGGCAAAGTCGTGTTCCAGCACAAGAGATATATATTGTCCTTGTGCATTCTCCCAAGCAGCAATCAATAATGGTAAAATGAAACCTCTGAAATTTCTTCAGCTTTCTTTGTGTAATGTGACTAGCAGACAGATTAAAACAATGTCCCAACAGGAATTTTCCTTCCTTAATATTTAGATTCTACATATCAATTCCACTCTAGCTGTGACTAATATCCACCACCGCCACACCCGCCTCCCAGGATTTCCTGATTTTAGATCACATGTACTTTGAGCAAGATTTGTAAGTAATTAATCTCACTCTTGGCTTGAGGTACCTGAAAATGTTGAGCATCCATTTTCATACAAGAAGATTTCTTGAAGATTTATCTAGTAGGGCACCTGGAAAAGCACTTGAAATCATGTAATCATTGCTGAATACTTTAACTATAATTTCTCTTGTGAAAGCATTTTCAAAATTGTAGTTCTATCATAGTAAGTGCAATGCTATTTGCTTCTCCTTGTGGCTCTGGCTTTTGGGTTCAAGTGAGTAGATGTGTATCTGTCCCACACTGTGACCACAGCCTCAACAAGGTCCAGAAACAGCAGCAGGGTTAACTAACATTACCAATGAATAAAGCCCAACTCATTGGCCCTTCTACAAGGAATTATCCAGGCAGCAGTCCCAGAGCTGCATTAATACTTTACATGGAGCTTTGCCACACAGCTATCTCAGTCTGCCCAGCACTGCAACACCACATGTCACCACGGTAGGCTGTACATATCCCATAAAGAAACTCAAGTCTCCATTTTAAAATGTCCTCATGGTTGCAGAGAGAAGCTTGAACACATTGCACCACCGCTGCAGCCTTAATAGCCATGTAAGAGTTGCGTGGGTAATGAAAAGATGCATCCCAATATATTAATGAGAAAAAAAAATTGCTGTGGGTTTTTTTTTCATCCATCGTCTAGTTTTTAAGCACGAGGTAAGACCTAAAAAATACCTTGGCACAACAATGCACCCAAAATACATCCAACTGCTCTAATATTCAATGCAGACATGGTGTTAGGCCTAGCAAAACAATGCCTCTTGCTGCGCACATTTTATCCGCTGTTGGTCTGCAGCAGGAGAGTCACTTCCCACTGATATCCCCAAACCAGGACATGTTCTAGGCATCAGTGAACATTGACACATTTTTCAGCAGCACATAGGAAAATCTGTTTCAGGAAAATCAAAGTCCCTGAGTGACTGGTGCCAGGACAGTTACTGGGCCTTTGCTTCTGCTGCCCTGATGCAGAGGACACGGGAGATTTCATGGTCTGGCACTGTTTTGCCCAGTGATATGAAGTCCACACAACAAAACACTTTGAGGGACCATGAACAGGTGTTGATGGTGGATGGCCACTGGCGGGATCTGGGAGAGGAGATGGAGCCAGGAAACTGGGGTGAGGAGGGGAATGGAGGAGGTGGAATCTCAGCCCGCAGACAGGAAGGTGAGACCCTCAGGTACGGCATGGCAAGGCACAGGAGAGCAGAAGGGACCCGGCTGTGGGGGCTGGAGGGAACCCAGTGTCAGGGAGAGCAGGACGGCGGGCAGGGTCGGCCAGTGCGGGGAGCTGAGGGCACCGCCGTACGCTCGGCCCTTGCCGGGCCGGTGCGGTGAGCGGGGAGCGGAGCCGGCGCATCCCCACGC